TATACAAAAGGATACTTTTCTTTGAATGTTCAGGCATATAATGTGTATAAATAATTTAGTAGCATTTTTCATTGGCAGAACTGGTGCACACTCAGTGCATTTTAAAACTTTTATATACAACTCGATATAAAGATATATACTTAATATAATAAAAATATAGAAATGAGTTAAACCGCGAAATTCTCAATACATTTTTTTGTGATATTTTATAAAATATAGGATGCATCCAGAAGCTCGATCGTTCACTGAGCGTTCAATAAGCTCTTGTACCTATTTGATCTATACTTTGTCAATTGAGATCTCACTTTTATATTCATTACATTAGTGTACAATGTGTACTTTAATGTGCACTGAGTACGCACCAATTCTGCTAAAAACTATAAGAAAATATTTCATATAAAAGAATATATACAAAACAAAAACTATCTAATATTCTCATCTCATTTTCTCTTTGTAGATTGTTGTTGTGCCAAAGAAGAAATTTTAGATATCGTTCCTGATGGCCAAGAAGTGAACAAAATGATCGAATTTTTCAAAATTCTCGCATATATATGCGATATAGGTGAATTAGATGGAATGTTAGTTGGAGACGCTGGTTATCCCATCTGTTTTATTACACTGATTGGTAATCCTACAACGGATAAAGAAATAAGGTTTGATACATTTTATAACTATTTATTTTATAACTGCAATTAAAAATTCTTCACGCGCGCGCGCGCGCGTATGTGTATATGTGTCATTAATAAACATGATACAATTATACAAAAATTATATGTTTCGCGGGTTTCCTCCATGTCCAGATTCATTCTTGGAATGCCAATGTTTCATGAAACTTGCAGTCCACTTCATTAGGACGAGGAGCAGGAAAGAAGAAAATCGTGGGGGAGAGGAGGTGGGAGAAATCGGTCAGTCTTTCATAACCAGGAGTTTTCCATATTTTATTTATGTTGCAGCCATTATCTCTATTTAGATTGTTAGGATGTTTTTGTACTTCTATGGCTTCTCTATACTTTCTTAGAAAGTATGATATAATGTTGGCTATTGTGGTCGTTTTGTCGTAGTATTTGATGTCCTATTTCGATGTTGTGTTCTGATAATGCTGATTGCATGACGTGTTTTAGCTTGACATCACACTAGTATTCTTTTACCCATAGGTTGATCATTCTCCTGGATTATTTCTCCAATGTATGCTTATAATATTTGCCCATAGGAACAAGATATTTTATATACTCCTACAGAGCTAAGTGGAGGTCTTTGATCTTTAGGATTTCCTATCTTTCGGTGGTTTAAAGATACTTCGCATTTGTTTAATATCCTGCCAATCCAATCTATTATTCCTTTGATAAATGGGAGAATAGATAGACCAAAGACCTGACAGGGACATTATCGTGCTTCCAGCCGATAAAAGCAACGACAGTCGTCATGAATACATCAGACTATAAGAAAAAGATGAAAAATCTTCTGGACAAAGCATACAAAAAGCTTCACAAAGATCCAAGTAAACATTCGCGCAAAACAAAATCCTGGTGGAAAAATGTAACATTCCCAGTAAAATCAAATCAACATTAAAACCTACAAATCCTCTTCCATCAAAATTATAAGGTATATACTAAAAGTATACACAAACCAAACATCCGCCTCAGATGATTGTCAGCGCCATATACTCCCCGACATACAACTTACTTCGCTTCCTAGCACAAATATTACAACCCCTGGAAAATTCGAATCACACATAATTAACTCAAAGGACTTCATACAAAAAATTCGATTACATTCCACAGATCTGCTTGTAAATTTCAACGTAAAATTCCTTTTCACACAAGTTCCAATAAAAGATACATTAAACATAATAAAGGCCTCACATAAAATCCCCTCCGACCTCATCCTGCTAATAGAGCACTGCTTAATAACCACTTACCCCTGTAGCAATCAATTTTATAAACAAAGAGTAATGGGCTCTTCTATTTCTCTTGTAATCGCCAACATCTTCATGAAGCATTTTGAGAAAGAGGCTCTCAGAAAAACACTCAAAAAAATAGAAGTTTGGTTCCATTATGTAAACGACACATTCATCATGATAAGAGGTTTTCGCATGCTCCAAATTCAGGCAGCACTTGGATAAGATGGCGGTTGGAGCAGTTGCATTCATGTGCTCCAATGTTCAGTTCAGGATTTAGAACAAATAAGCATGTCACCTAATCCGTGAGACCACTCGAATGGATCGGACATGTGCCTCGTTTCGTTTCGGATATTTTGTGTTACCTCGATTATTTGAAAAGCGTTTTTATACAAAATAAATGCATTTTTAATAAATATAAACATTATAAATTAAAATGTCAAGACTTTTTTTTAAAAAACGAGCAAATATAGTTAACTATAATAATAAAATTCGTCTTTTATTACATTCGTATAACGCTATAAATTTCAAATGTTTCAACTTATAAAGTCTTCATCATTGATAATAATGAAAATGTATTTATGTAACCCCATACACGTATGCGCATCTACTTCCGCGCTGACTCTCAGCTGACTCTTAGTCTTAATCTTATTGTTATTTAATATTCTAGTAATATTTCAGGATTACTTTCGTATGTAAATAACTAGCCATGCTATAAAATTTAGATGACGTTGTGAATTAGTTATACGTAAATTTTAATATATTTTAGTATTATTTTGTTAGTATATATTTTAGTATTTTGTAAGAACGATAATAACAATGATAAACGATTCTGTTTTACTATCTCATGAACAAAACTCTTAGATAAAATTTCAGTAGCTGGTTTCAGTAGTAACTGCACGAATGGAAATGTGCGGATTTTTTTCTAAATGTGCTAAGATCGTAAGAGTATTGCTTGCAATTGTAGTTGAATGCGGTTTGTTCCTTTTCTTTTTTTCAAATTTTCCCTAATTTCTTAAATTCTTTTTAATATTATAACTTACACAACATGAACGTCCATAGGATGTCTTATTCGGACATTTAACGTCCAGACGACATTCCAAAAATGTCCCAATGACGTCTGGCGGATGTCTTTTGAACGTATAATGTACCTTTAGACGTCCAGTCTCGATAGAATGTAAAATGGACTTTTTATGAATGTTATTTGAATATATCCTAATAAGAAATGATAATGGAATAAATATCGAACCGATGTTAATTTCATTGATTGAAAAATTGTATTGAAAATGAAAAAAATGGTTTAAAAAATTGGAATTCTGTTAACTGAATTGCCGGAAAATTGTTGGAAATTAAAGATTTATACGATAAAAGTGATATCTCTTAAACTCGATATAATAAATTAAAGTATAATTAGTAAAATACACATTTCTATTTTTCATACTGTTTCTGAAAAAGGCTAACCTTTGAAAGACATTCTCTATTGTAATTATTAATTTCGTTTATTATTAGGTGTACAACTTTGCTTCCGCCGTTTTTTTTCCGAAATTCGAGGCTTTATTGTAAAAAACTGGTTATATATTTATGATTCAAAGTATTGTCCATCGCTGGCCACTACTTTCTCCCATCTTTCAGATAGCGTACGAATCCCGCGTCGA